TCGTGCTAGATTTGTAGCTCTGATATTGACCACCTGTATCCTCGAAGGATATGCCATTTGCAAAATCAGCTTCAATGGTTCCAGATTTGGCCTTTTGCTAAAAGTGTACCTCATGTTTGTAGCTCTGATACTGGGAAGGCTTGAGGCATAAATCTTCACAGTAGTTGGTGATTAAGAAGTTAAGAGAACATTGCTCAAGATTTCGATGCTTATCTAGTTATCTGTTCGGACGTGTTCATATTTACACGGTGTTGTGAAAGTGTGAGGTAAATTCCACCGCACCTTCAATCTATTACTTTAATTGCATACTTAAAATGCAAATTAGAGAGCTAACATGAACGCAAAACTTTCTTTTTTTGGTATTATGACCTTAGTAGTTTTAATGATTGTTTATATCTTCTTTGTTATACTCTCCATTCCATTTTATGCCTCTGAATCGTGTGCATGAGGGCTGAGGCAGTACTGTAGTTACGTGCAATTAATCTCTTAGTAATTACTTTTGTACTTCTTGATGCTGGATCAAAATATGTTCAAGATGCAAAGCAAAGTTACACATTTGGGCATGGTTTTTCTTATTGGCCAAATCTCAATCAGTAAATATTTTTACTATATACTCAGTAAAAAGTATTGCACTTGATCAAGTTACTATTGGTTTCGGGGTCACTCAAATGGGTCATAAACACTTCACCCAAACTACACTAAAAGATTGAACTCAATCAATTTACTAGTTCAATCTGAAGATCTTATTGACCCATCATTTTCTATCTAAGCATTCTAGTGTGAGACTCTCTTACAATACTCTTTCATTTTTGGTTGGTACTTGGTTCTGAAGAATTATGCGTGCAAAGTTTAAGGTTTAACCTCAATTTTTTTACGTTTTTACGATATTATTGTTGCCTATGGTCTATATATGCATTGTTTCTTCTACAATGAATTTAGATGGTTGATTACATGCAGGAGTGTTCATTGCCATTTGCCAATGAAGCTAAAAGGGGTATCACATTTGATAAATCTGATGACCAGCATTCCATAAAAAGAGTCGTGTTTCAGAAAGATACACCCTTTTTTTATTCAAGTATATGTCTATTTGAAATAATCAAATATAGTTATACTTTTTAGCTTAGTTGTAATCTGTATTGATGGAAATTAGAAGACTTTGTTCGAATTGGACTCTTTTTTTGGGGACAAAATTAAATAAACATGGTTCTTTTTATGGGATGGAGGAATTTTCATTTTAGGAGGTGAATTCACTTTTATTTTAAGCTTACACTTCTATTACTAAATCCGGCATGGTTCTTTTAACACCGGTCGTCGGTGTCAAAATATGGCACCACGCCGTTTGGGGCCTTGAGGCATTTGTTGGGCCAAGGGTCACTCAGGACTAGTATCAAAAGAACCGTGGTGTACTAAATCAGCCTAAGGTAAATGTGGATCCATTGTTGGGATGTGATTAGAATGAATTGTCTATGCCTTTGATGCTGGGTACTGCCCACTACTGCCTTGAAAATTGTGTTAAACAATTCAGTTAGCCACAACTTCCCTATTTTGCCAACAATCTTATATAGAGGCCCAACTAGGTTGATCGGAAAGTAGGCTACTATAAGCTAATAAAACCTAACATAGTGATTCACGGTATAATTTTACACTCTCACCGTCTCAATTTAAATTGTCTGTTTCAATTTACGATGTTTGATTGAAGTTATTTTCCAATCACTTTATATGAAAAATAGTATAAAAATAAAAAAATAAAAATTATATACTCCCTCCGTTCTCAAATACACTTCTCTTTCATTTTTTTCACTTTCAACAAAACACTTCCACTTTCTATTAAAAATCCACTTTTATCCTTATTTTTTCCTACCCTACCTATCACATTATATTTTTTCTCTAATAATCTATCCATCACATTTTACTTTTACCCATCGCATCAAGGGCAAAATTGGAAGTCAACTACTCCCTCCGTCCCAATTTAAATCGCCTGTTTTGACTTTTGGGCATATTTAAGGAAAATAAAAAAATAGAGTTGATTTTTCGAAATTGACATTACTTTTTAGGAGGACTGATGATGAATGAGAAGATAAGGTGAAGAAGAGTGACTTATTTTAGGGGTAGTTTAGGTTTTTATTTTTAAAAGTTTACGAAAACAACTAACATGCAACTTATTTTGGGACGGAGAAAAAAGGCAAACAGACAATTTAAAATGGGACGGAGGGAGTACAATTTAACACTTTTTTATTTTTACACTTGGTAAAAATAGAAACTCTTTTGGAGAACGGAAGGAGTATTTAAAACTACATCTAAAGATCTACTCCGTACAAAACTAGTAGTGTCATGATTATATTATTTTATCAAATGATTAACAAAAATATGAAAAGAGAGTGAATGAAGTCTGATCCTATGAATAGCATACATGCAATTTAATTTGGGACGCAACTAAAATCTTAAAAAGGCCAAAACATGTCCTGGTGTTCGGAAAAAGCAAAAATATGGGTGAAAATGTTAAAACAAAGATTTGTGAGTATATGAGGAAGTCACGACGATGGCTTGATGATGTGAAGGAAGTTCACTTTAGGCCGTCAATCAAATTACTTGCTCTCAGGCTAAGTGTGTAATGCTCCACAAGAGAGGTGCCGCGATGCGGTGTGGCACTTCAGCTGTGTTCACGGNATTTTGTTCGCAACTTTTTGTACGCAAGGGATTACCCGATGATAATATTGCATACATAATATTGACATTATGTCTCGTTTATATTTTTGCTCAAATACTTCTGAATTAAAAAAAAACTATGTTTATTACTATTTTTTTTGAATGAAACATGCATGTTTAAAATATAAAATATGTTTCACTTAGATTTTTCTTATAAACTAAATTACTTTATGCTTTTTTTTCGTTTTGCTATAAAAAGGGATGGAAAGAATTGCATATTGAAGAGGTCACCGATGATGAATGAATTAATCGTAAGATGCAACCAAATCCATAGTAGATAAACTCATAATAACCTAAAAGTGGAAATTAGTGTTACTTCACTTACCTGTATAGTTTAAATTAGTGTTACTTGTTTTTTAAAAAAATAGTAATACTTGTATCACTTTTTTCTTTTATAGTTTTATGTACTTTTTTAAAATTAATGTAGTTTATATTTCTTTATTTTATTGTTATACTATAAAAAGAAGGAAAAAAAGTAGTGAAATTTGCATTAAATAGGACTAAAACATAAATCATTTCTAATGTAGGACTTAAAACTCTTTTATTTTTTCTAAATAGGACTTAATAATGTCTAGTGGGAGAAATAATGTCCAATAATGATGGATATTTAGTTGAATAATGACTAATTGATAATGATCAAAGCTCCTACATTGGGAAATAAAAACATATGACATTGTGTTTTAGTCCTATTTATGTAAATTTAACCCGAAAGAAAAAAACTAACTAGATATAAACTCGAAACAATTAATAACCGGTACAAAATACTTTTGACTTAAAATTAAGAAGCAGTTTTTGCTTCAGTTGTAACAATTGATGTATTTGAGATTGAATTGAGCTATGACATCGCTCTTGCTTGCATCAGTACAAAATCGATGCAAAAGGTATAAAACAAATGATGCATTTGGGTTGTTATGTAGTAGTAATAATTTTGATGTAATCCTTTCGTCCCAACTTTGTTTACAAATTAGGAATTACATGGCAAAATTCTACGTCTTTCAAAATCATTTTATTTATAATTTGTCATCAATAAAAAATAAAACTTACATATTGAAAAACTGCGTAAAAAATTCTACAAAACGTACAATAGATGACAAGAATATTTTATTTTATCAAATAATCAATAGACACACAAATACACAAAAGTTTTTTAGATGTGAGAAATTTTTTTAATCAATTTTAGGACGTAGGGAGTATATAATTAAGGGGGTGATATTTTTGTATTGACTTTTTAAAAATATCCTTAATGTGATGACTAAAAATAAGATGTAATGTGTATGTTATTAGTAAGAATGTATGATGTGATAGGTAGAGTAAGAATTAATAAAGGTAAAAGTAGTTTTTTAATTGAAAAATGAAGAACTTTATGGGACAAAGAAAAAAAGAAAGAAGATGGAGTTCATTATTAATCTATCAATCGAATTATATCCCCATATTAAAACAATAAAAACAAAAATCAGAAAATAACACGAAAATTAATACTCCTCTTGTTCAAAAAAAATTCTTCCCTGATTAATTTTTTTTGTCAAAAATTTTTAAACTTTGACTATAAACTACAGAACAAATGCATTAGTTTAACATATAAATCTAATATCAATGAATTTAGTTTGAAACATAGTTTTGAAATGTAAAAATATTAAATTTTTCAATAATATACACATCTATATATAAATAGAGATATGAATAATTAAAGCATTCTATAATATACTCCCTCCGTCCTTAATTTGATTACAATTTTTTTCTCTCCTCTAAATAACTTTTGTTTGTTTATGCGATTTCATTAAGTATTTGATCAAATAATTAAAATATTCTTGTCACCTCTTGTTTTGTTGAACTTTTGATATAGTTTTTTGATATGTAATTTTTATTTTTTATCAATTTACCGATTTGTAAATGAAATGATTTCAAAAAATGAGATATTTCTTTTCGTAAACCTCAATTTGTAATCAAATTGGGCAAAGAGGGAGTATCACTTTTTTCGAAAGTTAAAAAAAGGGATGGAGGAACTAAAAGATTAGTGTGGTGAATGTGATGAATGAATTCAAATTAAGCAGCTGTGATATAGCACGTACTACGTGCGTGCGTAACATTTTCTTTAGTAAACTCATTTGTTTTTATCAAACCAAAAGCACATAAAAATCTCTCTTTTCTCTCTGGTCAATGGATATCTCTGTTGATTCCTTCCCCACAACACACCTATAGTTGATGCCCACAAGTACCAAATATATATCTCTTCTTCGCATATATTCCATCTAATTAATTAAGACCTTTTAAACTTTCAATAGTATATGGCTTTCTCTAAAGAGTTGGATGGGTTTAGGGCTTGGGGTTTTTGAGGTTTGAATGAACATGACCAACTTTGGTTGTTTTCATAAAGGAAATCAAAACCTCCACAAAATTCATTTTCATGGTTTTGGTCGTATCATCCAATTGCCAGCAGAAAAAGGAGGGCTTCTTCAACAATCTTGTCTGAATCCATTAATAATGCCGGGAGATGATCTTAATGAGAGTGTTAATGACGGCTCGGGCAGTTGTTCTAGAGATTATTATTTTACTAGTATTAATCCTGATTCTAATGATGATGATGATGATCACCAAGGCTGGCTTCAGCTCACCGTCGGCCGCCGCGGCACCGCCTCCACGAGCCGCCACGGAAGCGGCGGGACCCGCCTCCGATTAGTGGAACTCGATCTTCTCCCGCCGGGACCCAGTGGGGCTTCTACTACCACGGCGGAGGTCAGGAGTCCGTTTCCCCCTCCCCCTCCTCCGTCTTCCACTGTGGGTTGCATTAGCGCCACGCCGCCGTATAGCTTCTTGCAACATTCGGCGCGGGCATTTCGGCCCGCGATTCCCTCGCAAGGAGTTGCCGGTGCGGGTTCGCCATCGTCCTATCCTGTTTTGTACTCGCCTCCGCTGCCGTCGGCCGGTTCCCGTTTTGCACCTCGGCCGCCGGTTGAAAGTCCGTCGGTGGACACCGGCGGCGGAGCATATAACTTTAGAGTGATTGATCCTCCTAGACGGCCACATGCCGGTATATGGTTTTCCTTACAAGCATCTAAAAATCAGTAAGTTATAATTAGGTACTGTTTGTTTTGCTAATTAATTAGGGTCATACTACGAACACTATATATAATAAACAGGATATCAAAATTGAGGTTAACCTAATACTCTATTTTTGAACTAATTACTGGTGATTTTGATCGATCCGCTACAGAGCGAAAGAGCCTTATTTGCCGCAGATACCAAAGAGCTTCTTAAGAATCAAGTGAGTATCATTACAAACTTCATTTAATCTCCATTTGATATTAATTATTCCCATACTTTATTATAGATATCAATACCCTTTGCATCAATATACTTATACTAATTCCATTTACCTATGTCCTTGTCATGTGAGTATTTGTTCAATTTTATAATTTTTTTTTAAATAAAACTGATCAAATTTCATTTTTGTAATTGGTACGACTGTAAATATTGTTAGAGATGGAAGAATGACGGTCCGATTGGTGCTTAAGTATCTCGCACATAAGCTACACCTAAATAACGAGTCAGAGGTATTTTATTTGTAACTAATTAATAAAAATTATATTCCAATATTCTTTATTAAATAATTCTCTTAGCTTGGTAACTACGGAGTATTTGAACTAATTGAGCTTACTGTAATGGCTAAATAGCATGATACTCACCGCGATTTAGAAAATAGGCATCAATATCTTTTTTGTTTTCAAAACTTATTTCTAAAGTCTTTTTGGTTTCAAAACGTTGCACTCATACCCCTCTGGTCATTTTCTGGCCATTTTTCGGCAAAGAAAGAGGGCATTGATGCCTATTTTACAAACCCTATGAGGCATTGATGCTCATTTCTTATAGTTGAGCAAGTTTCACGATTGATCTTTGTAGTCTTATCTTTGAGACTAGTATTTTTCATCTTAAGACTTTGTTTCTCCAAGATGACCCTTTTATTGACCCGTAGAGACTCTTTCTATTTAGCTTCGACAATATCAAGTGTTTCTTTGGATCAAAATCACCATCAGAGTCATCTTCATCTTTATAGAAGGATGGAAAAGCACAAGTTGAATTGTTTCAACATTCACTTTGCATTGTCATCCATTTCTATATCAACCACTTGTCTCTTAACTAGCTTCTTCAATTGAGTTTTCCCTTTCTTTTGAATCTATTTTTTTTAGATTCTTTGTACCATATATATGCAGCTCTTCTTGAAACTTATCATCCACATCAAGATCATCTATCTTAGTGGAATCATGTTTTTAATAGGATCGGGAATAGCACACGACTTCTTACTTCTTATGCCTTCATTCATCTCCAATTCAATTGTTTCTAGCTAGGATCCCATCAGCTCATCAAGAGACATGTTTTTGACCTATTGTGATTGTCTAATAGCTTTGACATTCTTAGAGTATTTTTCTAAAAAGAAACGTAGAACTTTCAATCAACACAAGCTTGTGTTCTCTAAATGGCACGCTCACCAAGACTTTCAGCTACATCCGCCAATTCTCTAACTCGCCCACGAAATCATGATAGACTTAATTTCCTGCATCTTAATATTTTCAACTTTGGGCATTACAATATGAAGTTTGGCAATCTCTACCTTAGTAGTGCTCTCATGAGTATTAAGTAGGATATCTCATGCTCTCTTGACTGAGAGTATGTAATGATTTGGACTAAGAAAGAAACAATTGCAGACAAAGGAGGGCACGCGAGCCCTTAACAGTTTTGCCCTATAATGCAACTTAATTTTTACCGATTATTATTATTATTATTATTATTATTATTATTATTATTATTATTATTATTATTATTATTATTATTATTATTATTATTATTATTGTAATGTAGATTTTATTAGGTGAGCGAAATTATAAGCTCCTTCGAGGTTTCTTTACGGTTCTTTCCCTCGTCGCTTTTATTGAACCGTCAAGTTAGGTTTAGGGTTAGCTAGGATTTCTTTGTCTTCTATATATTGAGATGTAACTCGTTTAGAATAATCAATCAATAAACAAATCAAAACCCTAATCCCTTCTCCTCTCTCGGTTCGCCGATTCTCCTCGTCTCAATTCTTCTTCTTCTTCCTCGTCCCATACTCTCGAGAGCTTGAAGACGCTCTAAGTCTTCCCTATCCGATACGAGTCCGAATCACACACCGGTTAAATGGGGGACTTGGTGATGAGTTTATATAGCCAAGGGTTCTCCCACCTTAACAGCTAGCTTTTAGGGTGTGGCTCTCCCTTGTGTTGTATCAGTAGATGGCATAAATAGATTATACGGAGTATTATAAATAAGTAGTAAAAATAAATTAGCAAAGTGAATAAATTATGAACGCGTTTGAATGGTATATCAGAATAATTTTTATGGATAGACAAAAATATTACTCAGTTTTTTTAATTCCTACCGATCCCCCATATTAGTGCCCTATTCGACCAATCATAAGGTTTAAAAAATGTTAAGAAAAAATCAAAAAAAATGTCTGTTTCTTTCAGTCTTAAATCCCTAATTTCCTCAAAAAAAGAAAAACTAATGTTATTGCACACCAACATATAGCTAGCTTTACACTTTTACACAATGGTAAATGTGTGATAGATAGAGGAGCTAGCATTAAACAAGAAATGATTATAAGGGCATTATACTAGTCTACAGCCCATCTATGGCATGCATATTTTTGCCTACGTGAGAAGATCGAGTTGAGAACTTTATTACTCAAGTCTTGAAAGCAATGATTAGATCGCCTGGCCATCAAAATGATCAACCACCAAGAAGCCAAGCATGGGTGCCCCAAATTTGGTGCTAAAATCAATGCACCCAAGTTTTGCACAGATGACACAGATGATAATCATCTATGTGAAGCTTGCATTGTGTGCACTCATGGTAACACACAATTGAATGATACAACATGTATACAAAATTTTTCTCTTTTAAAATGAATGATTTCTATTAGGAATAAAAGAGAGTATAGAAAATTCTAATGGAGTAATTTTATACTCCGTATTAAATTGGTATAAAAATAAAAAGTAAAACTTATTATGCTAAAAATCTTTAAATCAATGGTAATATATACTCCCTCCGTCCCATGAAACATGAGAGTTTTGCTTTTTAGGAGGGATTTAAGGGGAGTGTATTTTGGTATTGAATTTTCAAAAATGTCCTTTGATGTGATGGGATAGTAAAAGTATGATTTGATGGGTAGATTATTAGTAAAAAGGTATGATGTGATAGTTAGGGTATGAAAAAATAAGGGGTAAAAGTGACTTTTTAATAGAAATGAGAAGTGTTTTGTGGTACGGATAAAAAAAGAAAAGAGAAAGGTTTTATGGGACGAAGGGAGTATTATCTATTTGATTTTATCAAATGATCAATGAAAACATTTATACAAACAAAAGTTATCATAAATCTAAATAATAAAGAGGGTAGTTAATTTGGAGCTAGGATAGTACTCGTTTAGAGAAAAACTAATCCATGTATAGTGCATTGACTTTAATTTTTATAATGAGTTGGCCATGAAATGATCATGCACCCTATCCAAGGGCCACTATTTCACATATTACTCGTTCTAAACCACAAATCACCTATTCCAATAATGAAGAACGCCCTAATAACTAGGGAGTAATACGTAGTTCAATACTTCAATCTCTTTTATCCATGTATTGATGTTTCGAATTGAGGTTCATAATTTATTCTTCATCTATCTCAAAGTATAGTTTAATTTTCTTCTAAAAGAAACAGTTTTGTACTCCGTAGTTTATTACTTCCTTCGTCTCACAAAACCTTTCTTTTTTCAACTAACTTTTTCAAAAAATCTTTTTTTCCATTAAATTGTCACTTTTACCCATACTAAATTTTAAACTGTATATATCACATCACATTTTTCACTATTAATTTATTCATCACATCTTACTTTTACACATCACATCCAAAAGTATTTTTAGAAAGTCAACACCAAAATACACTCCTCTTAAATTCTTTAAAAATCAAAATCAGAAATATTTTATTTGTACTCGGTAGTCTATTACTTCCTCTGTTCTCAAAAACACTTTCTTTTTCTTTTTTCACTTCTATCAAAACACTAACTTTTTATTAAAAACCAATTTTACCTTTACTTTTTCATACCCTACCTATCACATCATACTTTTTGTCTAATAATCTATCCATTATATCAACGATAAAATTGGAAGTCGGTTACAATTTAACACTTTCTTATTTTTACATTTAGTCAAAATTGGAACTCTTTTTTAGAACAGAGAGAGTACATTATTTATTTTTTTTCTCATGTGCATAATTTTTAGCCGCCCAACTGGAGATGTTGGGCATAGTTCCTATATGCAGAGCGTAAGCTAGATCATTAATGGTAAATGCAATGGTAGATCTAAAGGCTCACCTAATTAATCTTTTACACTCATTCATTTTTAATCTATGTATCACATCATACCGTTTTTCTAATAATCTACATATCACATCCTACTTTATCTATTAGATAAAAAGACATTTTTGGAAAGTCGACACAAAAATATCCTTCCTTAAAATTTCTTAAAAGTCAAAACGAAAACATCTTTTAGGGACGGAAGAGAAAAACACCATCATTAATTAAAAATATATAAAAGATTAAATTATTTTATAAAACATCCCAACGTTATTTACTCTCTCCGTCCCACAAAACCCTTCTCCTTTCATTTTTCATCCGTCCCAAAAAACTCTTCTCTTTTCAATTAAAAAGTCACTTTTACCCCTATTAATTCTTAACCTACTTATCACATCACACTTTTTCTAAATTTAATCTACCCATCACATCATACTTTATCCATCACATCAAAAGGCATTTTTGAAAAGTCAACACCAAAATATACTCTCCTTAAATCCTTTAAAAGTCAAAATGTGAAGTTTTTGCGGGACATCAGGGATTATATATTTACCCCGGCCATGGGCCATGCCCAATATCATTAATCCGCGAATGCATGTGACGACAATAAGAAGTGAAAGAGGGAATACACCTTGTATATACATAGGTTCGATCATTATCACTCATGCAGTAGTAAAGTAATTCGATTCATGCATGAAGGAACATTAAGTATATACATGTTGACCTTTCACATCACCAATCGAGTTTCTTTACTTTCAGAAACAAAGCCAATTCTTTCTTTACGCTCTTTAGAATGATAGACGACGTGACTGCTGAGACGTGCATGCAATTTAATGGGATAACGTGGCCAAGTGCACATGCCACTACGTTAGGTACTCCTTTTTTTAATGGTTTTTTATGTTGTTTTAGCCAGATTATTTATTTAAGAACGTAACATTTATAATGTGGGGCTGAATCCGCCGCGCCACACGCTCTTTTCCCTTCCGGCGAGGCTGATTTCGGCCGTCTCTTGTAAATGCCCTTATACTCCGTCCCTCCGTCCCTTTCTGCAAACAATTTCACTTATATTTTCACTCTTTCCAAAAAAACATTCACTCTTTATTACAAAAACTATTTTATCCCTACTCATAATATCGAATATATCACTTCGTTTCTATTTATTATTAATCTATCTTTCACATCTAAAAAATTAAGAAGTCACCTACAAAATAGAGTTTCCGATATAAGATTGTTAACAAGTCAAAATTGGAATTGTTTCTTCTTTATATTAGGGAGTCTACAATGTGAAAATGTGCCA